TATCGTACGTCTTCTTTCGTTCGTCGTCGGCGTCGCATATAATAGACACTAGTTATACAGTACTAGTATATATATATATATATATATATATATATATATATACATATCCGAAATAGCAATACTGGTGGTATATATATAAATGTGTGTGCACTATTTCCTGGCTAGCGTCACGACATGTGTCCCCACACACCAGCTGTCGCGCCATAGAAGCACAAGGCAAGCACCTACGCTCACATTATTTAGATTGCGTTGTTTACATTCATATCACTTACACCAGATAAACGTCTAACCAAGAACTGAGCGTTGATGACCTCTTTGTGCATACACCATGTCTAAGTATAAACCCACTACCTCAGCAAGCAACTTGTTAGATATATATACACTATCTCAACGACACAAGCAACAGGTTCCTGTACATCTAGCAAGGCGGTGTGGTTCGATTGTATCTCTTGCATAATATTCTTGGCGGGTTGGTTGGCTGCATGTGTTATGAGTACTAGTATAAGGACACATTGTTCAACGCATAGTAGTATACAGCGACCATCCAACGAGGTAGGTTTGAGTGCTTCTGCGAGAAGAGAGTGTTCTACACAGGTGCACTGGCTTTGGAATAACTCGATTTGTGTACTTTTGTATCAGAATGTGCGCGTGTACACAATTGCATGATCTTTCGCGAAAGCGTGCTCTAATGGCGGGTAGATACGTTGCATCTGCGTTTGCGATGTGTGCTATCACGTGCATGCATGTGTTAGTGTAAACACACCTGTGCACATCCTACACATCTGCTAGACGCCTCGTACTCACCCGAGGCTCTCCATCGCCGTGTATGTTGCTCGTGCAGAGACACAGACTGGATTGAACAAATGGTGAAGAAGAACAACTTAGACCACCGTTTCGATGTGACCAGCCGCGTGACGGCGCAAACAACACATGTGGTGGCAGGTGCTGAGCCATGTCGACGCACACTCAATGTGCTGCGCGCGATCGCTTATGGTAAGTTGGGTGTACTTGTTTAGGTGTGGTTGTCATGTGTCATTGCTTATGGTAGGTTGGGTGTACTTGTTTAGTTGTGGTTGTCATGTGCCATTGCTGATGGTATGTTGGGTGTACTTGTTTAGTTGTGATTGTCATGTGCCATTGCTTATGGTAGGTTGAGTGTACTTGTTTAAGTATGGTTGTCATGTGCCATTGCTTTTGGTAGGTTGTGTGTACTTGTTTAGTTGTGGCTGTCATGTGCCATTGCTTATGGTAGGTTGGGTGTACTTGTTTAGGTGTGGTTGTCATATGCCATTGTTTATGGTAGGTTGGGTGTACTTGTTTAGTTGTGGCTGTCATGATAAAATTTTCTCATGCCATCTATCTGTGTCCATCTGTGTGTTGTCTCTGAGAGTACGGGGCATTACGCTCTTCGAGTATATAATTCTTTTCGATGGTTGGTCAGAGCACCCCCGCATGACCTCGTGAGAATAGATTTTGTGAGTTCATACCCTTGCAACTGCACCCTCGCATACAGACGCTTGCGCATGGACAAAGGCATACAGCAGCACACATCCGTCACACATACTACTGACCAAATTAGCGTTTATCGGCACTTCTCTGTCAGCACTGTGCTTAGAGAGATCTGATTGACTCCACATTCGCCCGTTCACTTATCCTTTAATCCCGTTCACTTATCCTTTAATCCCGTTCACTTATCCTTTATTCCCGTTCACTTATCCTTTATTCTTGTGTAATTCGCTAATAATGATATCGGTGCAGTCGAATTGGCCCCCACCAATACGTGCAACCTGTCAGATAACCGTAAACGGACAATTCTTCTCCAAACTCGCCCAAATGCCACCCCTCCCTGGTTACAGCTCCATACAACATCCACCTCCATACTTTCTTGTTGCTGTAGGTTGTTGGTTGGTATCGAAGAATTGGGTGTTTAAATCCTATGTGATGGGTCAGTGGCAGCTGGAGACCGAGTTTGAACTGCAGGAAGAGTATCCTGCCGCCATCAAAGAGCGTCTGGAACGTGAGCTGTGCAAAGCCGAGGGTGTGCCGTAAGTCTTCACAAGTGTCTTGTATGGCTATATACGTAACATATTGATTGTGGTGTGTTGGGGCTGTTGTCGCAGGTATCTTCTACCGGTGTACTGTCTGGCTTTCCTGCTTGAAATATTTAATGAGATTTGCTTCATGTATCTGATTTTCCGTTGGTATCCACAAGTACCATGCTTGTTATGCTTGCTTGTTTTCCCTACTGCAAGTATTTGCCGTGGGTTTTTTTTTCTCGGTTATTTTCTGTCTGTTAGAGTCTGGAATGCTGGAAGAGAGTCCTATAGTTGCCTATAAAATGTAGAGACATGCGCTGTGTGCAGTTGAATCGTATTTCAGGCGTAGTGGCATGATCAGTTGAATGCCTATTTCAAGCGTAGTGTTGATATGCACATGTTTCGTATTCATGCCGTGCCCTGTCTACTGTATCGAGCTGCAAAGAACTTGAATCGTATCCATCCATGGCAGAAACTACATATCTCTTCCTCAGCTCAGTTGGGTGATGAGGGTCCGTTGTCTTGTGTTATGCCAATATTCAGCTTCCCGGCCGTTCCATAGTAGCATCACTTGGACCGCAGTGAGCTCACACTTGTCAATGTCTCTGACCATATGTACACCCTAACCCACTCTGTCTATGTCTCTGACTACATGTACGCCCTAACCCACTCTGTCTATGTCTCTGACCACATGTACACCCTAACCCACTCTGTCTATGTCTCTGACCATATGTACACCCTAACCCACTCTGTCTATGTCTCTGACCATGTACACCCTAACCCACTCTGTCTATGTCTCTGACCATGTACACCCTAACCCACTCTGTTATGTCTCTGACCATATGTACACCCTAGCCCACTCTGTCTATGTCTCTGACCAAATGTACACCCTAACCCACTCTGTCTATGTCTCTGACCAAATGTACACCCTAACCCACTCTGTCTATGTTTCTGACCACATGTACCCCCTAACCCACTCTGTCTATGTCTCTGACCATATGTACACCCTAACCCACTCTGTCTATGTCTCTGACCATATGTACACCATAACCCACTCTGTCTATGTCTCCCACCATGTGTACACCCTAACACCCTCTGTCTCGTTGATTTGCATGCACCTTATCCATCCCTACAGATACCAGAACACGCTGTTCCAAGACCATCGCTTCTGTATCACTCCCCGTCGCACGGTGCCGCCCAAAGAAGACCTCGAAGAACTCATCATAGCGTGCAGTGGTCAGGTAACTTGTGTGTACTTCGTGCTCGTTAAGTAGAGGCGTTTCTGTTATGCGTATACTTTGTACGTAAATGTGTTTATATTCCATCGCATATACATGTGTATTTTCCTGTGAACGCGTAGCATCGAGGTACTAGTCTCAAATAAGTTTTTCGTTTTTTCATACATTTAATTTGTGTATGTGTTGTCGATGTGCACCACCGCCTTTCAAAGGACACACGTCTGCCGCGGCACACATCAAAGCGGATTAATCACACAATGTTCGTTAACGTTTTACAATGCATTCTCCACTGAATGCTGAATCACAAGCTAAGTTACCGTGTGTACGGTGTGGTCGAGTTACAGCCGTGACTGTGATATAATTATCATTTAACTCGTGCTAATATAACTACACACGTGCACTTGCGCCACACATGACACCGCCATTTTCGTGAGGGTTTAGGGTTAAATGAAACTAAGTCAGTGTATACCTGCCTTTGCTAATAAATGTAAATAACCATTTCCCACAGATTGTGAAGGAGAAGTCACAATCAACAGTATACGTTACGACAACCGAGCGCAAACCCTCAGCTGCCGCCAGCTATCACGTCGTTAGTGCCAAATGGATCCTCGGTATGGAAAGCATACACGTATATATCTATATATATCGATCTATATATATATATATATATATATATGTGTGTGTGTGTGTGTGTGTGCGTATACCTGTACAAATTCATATACAAATACATATACATATACTTATACTTTTACTTATACACGTACATAATCATAAATAAATATATATATATATATATATATATATAATATATATGTATATATATATATATATCTATGCATGTATGTATGTATGTATGTATTTATGTATGTATATATATACATGTTAGATCTACTGTATCTTTTTTACTGCACAGAAGCCTTGTAGTACCTACCTCCTTCAATCAGAGCAATATATACGTATATTTATAGAAGCCGAAAATAGGATTAAGAAAATCAAGTGGGTTGGGAATGATATGTGTATACATATATGTATACATAGAAAAGTGTGTATATTCGCTTGAGTGTAGTATACATTAGCTTTCTTGGGGGTGGTGTGATCACTAGATGTGGGGTGTATTCACCCATATCTGGCGGTATTCAGAGTGTGTCGTGCAAATTATTTGATTATAGGTGGGTGGGATCACACTCACTTTTTTCTTGTGAAAGTGAAACCGAGAGAGTGATGTGTAACTCATACTTTTTCCTGGTTTTATGCGCTGCAGATTCCATTCAGAAAGGCATGTTGGAGCCCTTTGTGGAGGAGGAGGATGACGAGTCACAACGTCGCGCACGCCGGAGTCCCGAGTTATAGTCTATATAGCTCGTTTGAGAGAATAAAACATGCTGATAACCCACCAGAATACTTGTTACCACCCCTTTTGCACAACATATATGAACGCAATTCTCGAGTGAGTTTCAACGTCCGCCTATGAACGCCTGTGTCCCTGACTATTAGAGCACGGTACAGCCATACACCGTTACAACTAAAGCTTTACTTGTATAAAGGCTGCGAAAAACATAACGAATGACACGCCAAGCTAGTTTCTTGTTTTGGTTCGCCTTAAAGACCACACAAGATTGTTTAAAAGAGTATCGAACTTGGAACCAACTCGCACAATATTATATCTATTTAGTGAGGTATGTTCGCTCTATTATGTGTCTCTCGTGAATACATGTCTACCCATGTCTCAGAAAGATGAATATAAACTTGATTGCATTTGGTGGTTGGGACTTGGGACTTCAATATTATCTGACCCCGTTCATTTGTCCTAATTTGCATAGCCCCAGGCCCCTATGTAAAATCGAGGGCCATGTACATAGTTTGATTTTTTTTTAATAAAAACAAAAAGGACGTATAAATCGTACATAAAACCCTACACTTTTCTTTTAGGGTTATATATTCATTTGTGGGCCTTAGCCTCCACTACGTGTAGGCTCTGAGAATGTTATATTATGAATTGCAAACGTATCGCGTTCATTCAATCGTGTATGTATGACTCGTGAGAAGTGAGCCAGAACGATGGTACATCAGTTAGACGCCGTGAAATTTGACAGCGCTCTGCACACACATGATGTGGATAACAAACAAGGTTCACTGTACAGTGCGAATAGCTTGACCCCTCAACTTGTGAGTCAGGTGGCACATACTCTGGGTGGCGATGCGGGGAAGTTTGCCGCCGTGACTGGTTGTGCTGTAGTGGGCTTAATAGGTGATTCGTACATGTGGTGGACCATATGTGATCGTCAAATAGTAATTCTGTACTATTTGACGATCAGTAAATTGTTGCATAGGGGTGTATACTTTCTAGAGCTTTCAAGTTTTGAGTTCATATTTCTTAAATTGTCTGCAATTGCGATAATCCTTGTTTGTCTGTAGTGTCAACGAATCCTATATTTATATGTTTGGAATACGGCACGTTTCAAGCCCATGGGCATGTATACATGTACAATGTTAGATGTTATCTGTTTTCAACCCTTTATTATTATCTATGAAGGATAGTTGTACACAAATATTTTCGGTTTTTTATAAGTGCGTGAGCTGAATCGCGAGCACATATGATTTCCATCCACAGCTACCTTGCGCATGAAGCAATAAGTATATATAATTATATAAGATATGATATATCGTATGTTTGTCTCTGTATTCTGCGCTTTCGTTTACCATTGCAAGCTCGTGTTGTTCAAGGGACTATAAATGGTTGTATATTGGACTTTTTGCGGACAAATGTCTGCTGAAAACTGAATAATAGCACTTAAATATATGATAGACACGTTCAAAGGTATAGTTGCTGCTATTCATGGCTGCTATTCATGCTACCTCTCTTTTTGTATATATCTTACTGGAAATGAATGTAGAACTAAATCACCTACCAAATCACCTACCGATAAATAGACCACGACAACTTTTTTTCGCAATTATCAAGCTAGCTGGCATGCTCAAAGGTTCGTATATCCTTGGTTACCACATCTACTTTAACAACTCCGTGCCCTTCTAGGGTATGATCACGACCGGACTATGCGCTTTTTCTAATCGTGGCCATTTTCTATAAACACTTTCGTTTTGTTATATGCAAGTTCCAGTCGAGCATACGTGTTTCTGGAAGTCACAGGAAGCTTGTATAATTTACAGCTGCAGAAGTTGCAGATAAGTATTGTTTCATTTTAAGTCACTGATTGCTTTAACTTTCTTTGTCATGTGTCCCGCAGGAGTCTACGCGCTCTCGAGTAAACGGCGGAGAGTACTTTAGTGAGAGAGAGTATCCTTATGTTTTAGACCTCTCTCAAGTTAGTGTACGCCTGGGATCTGCACAGCGAAAGTAAGTCAAAGATATACCAATCTGCTTTTAAGTCAGATTTTGATATTCATCTGTAATTGAATTGCGCGAATTAGTCAAGCGTGACTGACATTTCAGCAGAAGTTGCAATGTGCAAAATTGAAAAGGACATATGTGGCAACGACTCAGCTGTGAGAAAAAGTGGAGATATTCACCCGCCGACGTGCTTCTAAGGCGCTCAACAATGTGAGGGTGCTCAACACTCTGATTGCACCAAATAGTTGGAAAAAATAATTCGGATATCAAAAGAGCTTTATAAAAAACAGGATGTATGTATAGGACTCGTGAGTATATTAACCAACTCATAGAGACGGGTTTATTGGTAAGACATGATGCAAGCTATTTGTTTCTAATGAAATCATTCCGTGTGCAAGTACAGGGTGAGCTCGGATCGAAAGGACCTCATGTCATTATTATTCTTTCCTAAACGGAATTCAAATCATAGTGATTTGTCCAATGGTCGTGCAGCGTAGGTTTTCGATATTCCTCGTGCTGCTGTGACTACAGTATCCCTATTATATGGAATTGAGTTGTAAATTTGTATCCCCAGCGTGGCATTCCAATCTCGTGACTCAGGGGGATCCCGTACCCCATAAGGGCGACTCAGTGATCACCTCGAAGTCGACAGTCTTGAACCCCGAGTAACGTAGTCGATTAGATGTGCTTGTGCTCTCCAAACCTCGGGACAGGGAAAATATGTGCGTGACTGACGCGAGTATGAGACGCTTCATACGTCCATGCGTGATGGATTCAAGTCAAGAAAATATGTGCGTGACTGGCGCGAGTATGTGACGCTTCATACGTCCATGCGTGATGCTGGATTCAAGTCATGGCTGGGGTACGAGCTTACGATTGCGCTTCTGATATTTATCAAAATAGGCAACGCGACGTTCACAAATTGAACCTTTCCCACAGAGTTCTCCACAACATGCTGGCAAAGGCAGCACTCTCCATGCTACGATTCTGCACCACTCCCAGAGGTTGTCGACCATAATCGTAAATACGCACAGTCGGTGGATACACTGGCTCCTCCATATCTAGGTAGTGCTTTAGATTGCACGTATGTGCGCACTCATACTTGTTGAATTCGATAAATCGTTTCTCGTAAAAGGTCACATGCTTGAGATTGACCTTGCCAGTCTTTTTAAGCAGGCAGCTCTTTATTGGCTTATTCGCGTCACTCCCTGCATTGCAATCTTCATCGTATGATAAATCCACTCCGGAATCAAATCTTCCGCTTAGATCATTCGCTCGCAGCTTACCCCGATACACTTCAAACTCGCTTACATGCGCATTCTTCGAGGATTTGGTCATGTTTTGGACATGATCAATTCCAGGTATTGAAACTAGCATCCTATTTTAAAAATGTGCGAATCTCTCTTGCAATTAATTCGCAAGTATATTTTTTGTTTTGATATGACTGTACGCGTCGATTGTCAAGATATATATATATATATATATGTATGTACCTTTTTTTAAAACTACGTCAACGCGAGTCACGACTCGCGACTCACAACTATTTTTATTAGAGAGAGTCAAGTACAGCCAATACAGATCCACACACACACAAGCACGAAAAAAAGCTTGAAGTGAAAATATATTTATAAATGAATTGTGTGAAAAGTAAAAACCAGATTGTACTGTTGTGCCGAATCTCTCATTCTCTCTCTCTCTTCTCGCAGTCTTCTGAGTCTTCTCTTCTCATTAGTCTTCAGTTCTTCACTGAAACTCTTCACACACAACAAGAGAGAAGTGAGTTCACTCACTGACTCTTCTCGCTCTCGTGGGCCTATCACACACCGCCAGTTCACCACATGAGAATAAAGACTATGAGTCATTCGAATACTTTGTACAACTGTTGTTCGGAGCAGAAACTACCGCTAGTCGCGAGAGACTGTTCATTCCTGATTCCACCGTTCTCCGTGTTTTATCACAACTTTTTATATATATAAAATTATTCATTTTTCAAAACAACCAAATCATTTGAACGTTGACAAATGACATTTTTTTATTTTTTTTTAAACAAATATAAAACAAAAACAAAAACAAAACAAAAACAAAAACAAAACAAAACAAAACAATGATGTATAGTCCATGAAAAACACAGTTTTATGCACTCGGAATGTACACCTAAAAACCCGAAACGGACCATATCGGTTGTGTCTACTCTCTATAGTCTGCAGTCTATGTCGATAAGGAATACAAATTCAACGGCCGTGAAAGGGCGCACTCGTAGTATAGGACAAATTTGGAGACCTGAAAAGTACACCTCTATGGATAAAGGATATAAGTAAAATACCAATGTTGATGTCTTTTTTTTAAATTTGTATTTCTTTTTTCCGTATTGTTTTTTTAATAAAATAAATCTATACTGTACATCCTGTGCATAAATATCATAGCTCTAATTGTTTTTAAAAAAACCACTATGTATTTACATGTTCAATTTACTTTTATTTATTAGTGATCAGGATTCAGGACCCTGGGACCTGGGTCCTGGGGGCCTGGCCGTCTGGGCCTGATGACCTGATCAATGGGACACCGTCCACGCTCCGCACCCTTGACCAATTACGACCCACAGCCCGCCACGGGCCACGATCTGTCGCAAGAAGTCTAGCAACTCGCCATAGAATTTTAGAAAAATAGTATATTATGACAAGTTGATAGGCAATTAGGCAGAGGTTCGCTGCCTCAAACTCGCTGATATGGGTTGAAGTGATAACCAATTGATTTTTGATTTTTTTGATTTGTTGTGCATTGTTTAACAATAAACAAGCTCTCTTTCCCCACTCTCTAGCTCAGTGATTCAGTGATCAACTGATCGCTGATCAGTGATCAGTCTCTCTCAACTTGAAGTCTCAAGTCTCATCACTCAACTCCTCCGCAGGCCTCATAACGTACAAGGTATGTAGCTGAAAACGTACTACGTTTTACGTTAACGCACACAATTATAAAAGTTTTTGCGCATACCGTATTCATTTTGGTGTTTCCAAAACGACAACTACAAAAAAAACAAATTCAGGAACTGTTCTAAATAGATCAAAAATGACAAATATACATTGGTCCGGATCCAAAACTGCAAAAGTTCAATTTATATATCAGGTAATCGCCCATATCCCGTATACCGCTAACGCAATGTTTTGAAAACGTGTTTACGCTTAACGTAATGAGCCCTGTTTCTCAGTTCTGAGTTCTCACTTCTCACACAACTTCACAAGTACTTATTTTTGTTTTTTTTGTTCTTTTTTTAAACAAAACAACGCGAGAAGAGTCCCAAACTCACAATCAAAGTCAAAACTGAAACCTGAGAGTCTGAGAGTGACTCAGTCCTGATTCCTGAGTGAGTCCAGAGTACTTGAGCTGTGAAGACTTCTTGCGAGTTGCGAGTTGCGAATTCAGAATTGCACAAGTTGCAGACTTGCAGAGTTGCAAAATGCACTATTTGGTTTTTTATCAAAAGCACTTTACGTTTACGCTCAACGTTTAGTTTATATTTGGGTGTATTAGGGTTCTGCAATATTTAATCTTATTTAAAAAATATAATATCGTCCTATTTGTTCTCGTACAATAGAGATCAGACCTGTCCTGAACGTTTCCGTTACGTTCGCACTAAACGTATACTAAAATCGAGTGTAACGAATGACTATTTTCTTAGCCTTCTAAATGAAACAAGCCTAACATCTTTTTGTGGGTTGGAAAATTTGGTTGCGGGACTAGCCATTTTTACTCAAAAAATATTAAAAATTGATGACGTAAATATTTTGTACCAGAAACACAAAAGTTAGTAACTTTATTAATAACAATATACCTTTTATGTGCATACATACGCACCAAGTGCTACGCTTCGTTGGTCGCTACGCTCTTTTAGTCGCCCGTAGACACCTCTGCCAAAGCAGAACGTACGAGGTCCATCTTCTCTCGGTACCCATCAGAATATATTAAGGCTTTGCCTAGTCTCTCGACTATTTCAGCGTATGATCCATGCGCCGATAGATCGAGCATAGTTAAGTAACGGCGTGCATCGGGTTTAGTGCTAGCTAGAGCAAAAGCGATTTCTTTCTTCTCCAATTCGAGCTAAAGTAATACGCGCTTCTGGAGTGCATCTAACGACCCTTGAAGAACTACGCCAGCATTACTGAGTATGTTCTTACATTCAGTCATAGTCCATTTCCCAGTTCTCTGGTTGTAGGAAACGGCGTGATGCGCTCAATGTATTGGTGCGTTCGACCACTTGTGTTGTACCGTTCTTCTTATCCTTTTTGACCATATATACATA